AGAGATGTTATGTTGAAATATGCAACTGAGGCATTATCTATTTAAATATGCATTAATATACATATAATTCCAGAAAAAAAATCTGAACATTGGATAAAGCTTAATACACAAGTATTGTTTTTTTTTGTTGACATATTACAGTTAAAGGTTTTTACTGATGGGATTTTGGATTTCTCTTTTTCTCACTGCATAAATCAGAAAATACTGTCAACACTGTCAAAAAAATTAATTTTCACCATTTTTAGGAATAAATTGTTGTATAAAACCTGGCGATTGATATATGAACAAACCCTTCAGTAAAAACCTTCAGAATATAGACAGGAATAAATCTCTAAGTTTTGGTGTTTATAACTGCAGCAGAAGTGGAGGAAAACTCTTTTTTATAATCATACAGCCTTTAAAGTTATGCATCGTAATTGAAATCTACATACACAAATAGAAAGTTCAATAAAAGCAACACTTAACGGTATTTATTACTAGTTTAAAACAACACTATGAAATGGCAAATAGCCCAAAAACTCAGTGAAATGATGCATGAGAAATAGTTTTTTGCCCGTAGTGTCTCGCCTAGAGAAAATCACAATTTTTAGCGTCATTGTGCATCTCTAGTTTTAGTTTTATTTCAGGATAACAGTTGATTTTGATCATATGATGAAAATACAAAACTCTCTGAAATATAAGAGGAATTGATGATGTCAGCTAAAAAAGGAGAGTCGTTTCATTATGATTTGTTTCCCCATATGGATAACGTACATTGACGAATCTTTTTAAATAAGACCAGAACATGAAGTAGTGTCCTTTTAGACTTCAGGTTGACTGAAATGTGTTTACTGGTGTATCTGAGGGCATGAGCCGTGATGTTTTCTATCTATGGACTCCAGAACAATGTGTGTTTCCACCGGATGTGTGTTTGTAGAGCGATGAGAGTGTGTTCTGCCCATCACGGGTGAGATTAAGCTGTTTTACGCTGAAACGATCTCCATCATCACGCCCGAACGAGCGTTATCCAGAACAGACAGAGAAACCCACAGTAAAACAGGCTGGCTAATAGATGAGCTGCAGTTAGATCTGGTTTAGATGAACCGCACCGTCAGTCTCAGACAGGACAAGCTGTGTTTTAGTACATTGGGTCCTGTAAGCATTAATTTGGCCCAGAGATAATCTGTTGTCTCAGTACAAACTTTGTTTGTTTGCCAGCAGAATGATACATGAACAGATTGTTTGAAGGTCTTTCTTGTGGAAACATTTTTGTTTAAATATTTCAACTTGTAATTCAGTTTCTCAAATATGTGGCTTGGGCTTCGTGTCGTGTGTAATTGCTAGGGATCGCACCGATATGAACATTTTGACCGATAATTCGCTATATTTGAAAGCCGATAACCGATATATTGTCCGATAAATCTAAATCCAAATTTATATGTACTTTTTTAGAGCCTGATTGCAAAAAAAGTTTCACCAGTAAAAGCCAATCTAATTTTATAAAGCCGATATCACGGCACGTAACTGTATTTTCCTTATTTGAAGTGATTCCAATCATATTTCAATCAATTTAAAGCCATTATGTTGAACAGCGTGCATCCGCAGCGTCTCAGCTGGAGGAAATAATACATTATTTATCGGCTTTAATATATCGGACACATTTTCGATACCGATAACATTTTAAACTGACGTATATCGGCTAGGGACGGGCAACGGTTAATCGCGATTAATCGCATCCAAAATAAAAGTTTGTGTTTACATGATGTATGTGTGTGTAGTCTGTATAATTAATTTGTTTATATAAAAACCCACACATGCATGTATATATTTAAGAAAAATGGGTTATTATTAATATATCAAATATTTATATTTATATATAATATTAATTGTGAATAAATATATATATATATATATATATACATGCACATATTTCTCAAATATATACAGTACATGCATGTGTGGGTATTTATATATACAAATTAATTATACACACTACACACACATATATTATGTAAACCACAAACTTTTATTTTGGATGCGATTAATCGTGATTAATCGTTGCCCATCCCTAATATCGGCCGATACTGTGCCGATATATCGTGCGTCCTTAGAAATTGCATTTGCTGACTCCCATTGCTTTAGAAAATCAGATGCATGCTGGGAATGTCTTCAGAAGAGTTTGTCTTATTAGTGGTCTTTGTATATTACTGTACTTCATTTCAAGTGTTATTATTATACTCGTGTAGCTGTTAGGCCAGATGTTTCGCTTGCATAAGTTACTCTAAAAGTCATTGTCTGCGCTGCAGATCATCGTTCTTGGACTCGACTGTTGTTCAATAATAATAAGCGTGTGTTCTTGCCCAATATGAACATGATCTGTGCAGCTGCTGCCCTTCATATAAAGCATATAGTGTCTGTTTGTTTTGACCTTCTGCAAAAAACTGCTTTTCTTACTCAGTGTTTCTGTCTCGTTTCCAGTCCAAATATCAAACATTTCTTAATTCAACATGCATTTACTAAAGCAGTAAAAAAAAAACTTGTTTTCTGGGGAAATAAATACAAATGAAGTGAGTTGATGCTTAAAACAAGAAAAATGATCTGCCAATGGTGTGAGAGAAATGATGTTTCTGTTTGAATTAAGATTATTTTTCTCGCTCCATTGGCAGATAATTGAGCTTTTTTTAAGCATCAACTCACTTCATTTTGATTAATTCGTCTGGAAAACGAGACATGATAGCTAATGTCTTTTACTCATCTAGTAAATGCATCTTGATTTAAGAATTTCTACATATTTGGACTGGAAACAAGACAAAAATACGGAGTAAGAAAAGCATTTTTTGCGGTTGTGGGCCTGGCTCTCGAACCCTTTTCCACAGACAGCAGCACTAACGCTTCATTTCCCCATCAAAGAGCGCTTTGTTTGAGCAGATAAACAGACGTGTTTGCCTCTCCGCTGACGCCTTCTCTGGAGCACAGGCTAATTTTCATTCAGTTCATCATTACCGCTTATGTAACGCTGTCTGCGGCATGTCGTCATTGCTTACATCCAGCGCCTGTGTGAGATGAGGTGTGTGTCAAGGCTAGTTAAGCCCTCTAATAGTGACTATTCCCCAAACTCTGTCTTTGGCAGCGTGTCTCACACACCCGTTTAGTCTCACTCGAGCTATTCATCATCGCACACAGACTCTCTCCAGCATGTTCTCAAGACACATGGATATGCAATTTTCCAAATGTGTGAGATGTTCTGTTACTTTTAGTGATCAGATGCACCATTTTGACCCCCAAAAATGAACATTTTGTTATTTATTTTAATCCTTGCACTCTTTAATGGGAATCGATGGTACCTTTAACATCCATTGGAACTTTTCCATTGCACAAAATGTGTAGTGAAAAAGGTTCTTAAGATTGAAATATTCTTTGCACAAGTTGCTTTTAACCAGAAGGTTCTCTGGGAAACTCAAACTGGTGGTATTGTGAAAACCCACTTTATTTTTAAGTGTTTGTTGATCAGCCGTGCAATGAAAGTCAATGGGCTCCAATGTTGTTGGACCTCAGGTACAGGAACCACATGATTGGTAAATAATGACAGAATTAACATTTTTGGCTGGACTGGTCCTTAAATATAAAGGTTCTTTATTGGCATCGATGAAGAACCTTTAACATCCATGGCACTTTTCCAATGCACAAAAGGCTCTTTATATTGGAAAAAAAGTTTTTAAGATTGAAATAATTGTTTGCACTACTAGGTCTTTTAAGAGTTTTTCACCAAAACGTCATTTGGGAAATTCAATCTGCGGCGAAATCCCACTTTTGGAACCTTTTTTTAAGTGCATGTTGATCAAAACCTTAAAGAAGCCGTGCAATGTTGTTGGACCTCAACGTTCTTCAAAATGTCTTGCATACAGAAATGCATGAAACCACATGATTGGTAAATAATGGCCGAATTTTTATTTTTGGCTGGACTGTCCCTTTAAAACATTCGGCAGCTCTTTATTTCTCCACTAGGGGTCATCATTGAAATGACGGACAGTTAAACCCCAATAAGGGACCCATTTGACGAGGACTTGATTATGCATTTGAACCTCCTCTGAATGGACTCATCATAAAGTGCGTGCACGTTTGTCGAAGCTGTTTCATAAACACACCATTAAAACGACTGTTTTCATTCCACTTGACTTCTTTCTTATCAGTCTTATTTGTGTTTGTCATTTTAGTCCTTTTTTTAGTCATATCTCAAGGAAACGTCTGGAGCTCTGTCCTCCTCAGATAAAAACCGCTTAAAGGCCTCCATGGTGTGACATAACCATCCGTTTGTGTTCCCGGTGTCCGTTGGGATGTCATGAAACCCAGCTTGCTCGAGGACAGGATCTCTGTTCTTTCAGAAGTGGCATATTTTTAGCAGAAAGGCCCAAACTGAGCAAGCTGCTTCCAAATATTTTCCAACATCTGCCGACCATCTGCATTCCTCAGCTGGATCAAACCTCACTGGAAATATATCACTCTCCAGATGATGCGGGTTTAGTATTTTTGTCTGGTTTCCAAAAGCATTTTTTTTGCCGTGCAGGGAAGATGGACAGATGCCCTCCAAGATCTGGCCTACTTAATGCATGATTACGGCGTTATGAAAGTCTCAGATCGAAGATAAGATCGATATTCATTTAACCCATGTGCGATGTCTAAACAACAAGTGCATGAATGGCGTGTTGAGGAGTTATATAAAAGTTAAAGCATTAAGACCACCTCTTCCATGTGATGTTTTAGTCCCGAAAGCTCCTGTAAACACAGACTGGAGCTCCATTTGGAAAAGCACTCAAGATTCTGGGCGTAGCTCCATGTTTTCTGCTATTGCTGGGTCTCTTAATGAACGAGTCTCAGGTTTTATTGTGGGACGCGAGTTCCCCAATAGCATTCCATTCAACAGAGATAAAGAGCGAGAGTTGTTATATAACCATCCCTTCATTCAATCAAAGATTGTTTCCCAATTCCCATTCCATGAGCATTCAACGACTCGACTCGAGGTGTTCAGTTCATAAATAAATCTTTTATTTGTAACATATAAAATTAGATCATTTTACACTTTATTCCAGTATGACAATGTTCAAATAAAAGAGCTACATTTGTGATAAATAATATTAATAACAACAATAAAACATTCATTCAACCTTATTTGATCGTGTCGTGGAGTTGGATTCCATTAGCTGCCAAACACTGAGGATGCGTTCGCCCACGTCAGGAGGGAGCGTTACTGCGGACAAACTCAACCTTCGCCAGGTTCATAGTCTACCAGTTGTACGTTTAAGCATGTGCATATCTACAATTGGCAATACACACACACACGCACACACACAGTCTACAGTTTTGGTTCATGTTTTGTTATTTAGACATCAAGATATACATCAGGAATTGTAATATTTACATCTTTTACAGGTTGCTCCGTAACGAAGCTATAAAACGTAGCGCTCCAGTGTGAAGCGAGTCTTTTCCAAAAACGCCGCACTGCAAAAAACGCTGTGTTTTTGTCTCGTTTCCAGGCCAAATATCAAAAAATTCTTCAATGCAGGATGCATTTTCTAGATGAGTAAAATGACACAAGATGTTAGGTCCTGTTTTCTGGGGAAGTAATCAATGAAGTGTCAACAGATTCAAATTCGAACCGTTAATTTGTATTTCCCATAAAACAAGACTTAACATCTAATGTCGTTTTATTGCTTTAGTAAATGCATCTTGATTTAAGAAACGTTTGATATGTGGACTGGAAACGAGGCCAAAATACGGAGTACGAAAAGTGTTTTTTGCAGTGCGACAGGCCTCAGCAAACAGTGCACTTCAAAGTCCCCGTAATGTAAATCCGTAATTCCGTGGGAATCTCGTTACATCAGGAGTCGATTGGCCGGCGGACAAGTCCCCCCCCCCCCATTTCGGGTTCCTGGCCCGCTCAGTCTCTGAACTTGTGGATGTCGTTGAAGAGTCTGTAGAAGGGGTAGGACGCGTCGTTGCCTTGGGCGCAGTTATAGGTGCACTTGCAGGACTCGATCATCATGACGTTCTTGTTGAAGGTCTCGCCGTCGTCGCAGCGAAACTTGACTCGGATGGTTCGGGTTTGCTGTGGGCTACAACACCGGCCGTCCACACACGAGCCACAGTATCTGGGCCGATACTTCTTCAGGCTGGAGCATCCGGCGTAAGAGAACTTCACCGGCTGCATCGACTTCTTGGTCCGGTTGCATTTCTTGCCCTTCTGTTGGAGGACGCAAGGATTAGTCTCCTTCATTTATACAGCTTGAGTTATTGAGTTATATGATTCACTTCAATTGCAAAGATTAGTCAATAGGACTGGGACAATATCAATCTATGCATCGTGAATCGAGAATTGATTCCGGATCGATTGTGAGATTTTCCGAATGCATCGATTCTGAGCTTCCGTACTCCAATGCCTTACTTACACCACTTGGACCTTCTATAAAATAATCGTTCGTAAAGTTTGAAATGGTTGAAGCGAATTACAAGGTGCGAGTACATTAGCATTATTTGAGCATGCGGTTAAAACTAGCCTAGAGCGCCATCTAGGCTAGCCTCCGAATCGATTCGGTCGGAAAATATTGGAATCGATCCAATGCAAAAATGCACACGATGCAATGCGTTTGTGTTTGTCGGAGGGACGTTGCTCACCTTGAGGCTGGTGTATGGTGATTGGCTGCATGGACGGACTTCGCAGATCCGGGTTTCCTTCACCAGTTTGCAGTCGCCGTTGTCGTTGGTTATTCTGGTGGACACTCCCGTGCCGCAGGTCTTGGAGCATTGGGACCAGGGTGTGGTCTGAACTATGCACTTCTGGGATTCCAGCTGAGATCGGAATGCTGCGAATAAACAAAGTGCCGTTTAAAACTCGAGTCACACGCACGTCGCTAACGGCGTTTTGCAACAAATCCTTCCCTCGAAGCCCTACAATTATACTTCGTTCCCCAAAAATGTCGTCCATAACCAGCTCTAAATATCTTTGACGAGCTCATGTGGAAAATAAATAATATAACATGATCTTTCGTGACTGCTAAAGTCAGTTCAGATTCACATGTAGACATAAGGTTAGCATTTTTTTGTTTACATTTAGAGCATTTTTAGGTTTTCTATGTGCACTGAAGCATTCCAGTCATTCCTATGGGGGTCAACTTGACCCGATGTGTTACTTTGTTGAATTTCAAACACAAAACTCTTTGAATCGATTACTTTGTGCGAGAAGAGTCATAGGGTCGTGAACACTTAATTTTTCCCAAAATAAATTCCGGGTCACAATGACCCGAGGGAAGGATGAGTGTTAGAGATCTTACCAGCTAGAGATTTGAGTCCAGGCTTCACGTTGGAGATGAGCTCGTTCTTGTTGGTGAGGTCACTCTCGGAGTCGTCAACCACTGGATCGTTGCCAAACTTGTCGGTGGACTCCCGATGCTTCCCGTCGTCGCAGACCCACTCCTCGCAGCATTGCCCCGGCACTTTGACCAGCCTGGGATTGGCGCATCCCAACGTGGGAAGGGAAAGCTCTTGCGGGCAAAGCGGGATGCATCCCACCGCCCCGTCAATGCAAGTGCACTGGTGTTTGCAGTTAGGCTGGAAGCTCTCTCCGTTCTGGTAGATCCTGCTGTTGTACTCGCACGGTCTTCCCTCAGATTTGGCTGTGAGAGAAAGCAAAAGGTAGATTTTAAATCTAATGCTCACATTCCACATGCAGAACTCCCCCCTCCCATCCACACATGCTTTCCATTCAGTGTCTTTTAGCAAGCATAATGAGAAACATACCTCGGCAGATGCCTCTGGTGGCCCCGTGGCTGGCCCCGAAGTTGCACTCGAGACCCTTGGTGTGGTCGCATGGCTCGGTCTTGCTGCAGTCTTCGTTCAGTTGTCTGGCACAGACTTTACAACAGCCACAGCCATCCGAGACCAGACTGACTCCAGGAGCGCATTTGGGAAGCTCCTGTGGGCATGAACATGCTGGGCAGCTGGAGAAAGCCTGAGCGGAAAAAAACAGCACACTTTAGTGACTTTCAAGTATGGAAAACCCACTGATGAGAAAAAAAGCTAAAAATGCCCTTTCAATGTCTATGATGGAAAAAGTGATCAGTTGACTTGACTTAATAATTTTAAGGCAATGGGTTTCGTCAATTGTTTTTAAGTAAATAAACGTCATGCCTAATCGAAAAAAAAAATCAACTAGTGTGGCATTATCATTACGTTTATTTACTTAAAACTCATTGCCTTAAAATTGTGAAGTAAATAAACGTCAAATAACTATAAAGTATAAAGTTCGCATAACTTAATTTTTTCAAGTGAGCTCTGAGTTTATTTACTTCACAATTTTAAGGCAAAGGGATTACAAAAAAAACAGTACTCTCCAATGAATGGGTTAACACTCATGTGTATATCATATAACTTCTCTAATAAGCAAGCAAACGAGTAGAATGAAAGTAACTTACCACATTAAAGTGCCCAATAAGGATGACGATAACAGCCCAAGCAAACATCTTCGCTTCTCTGTGTGCTGACGAGTGGTGTATCAAACGAACAGTTAAAGTCCTCGTTCTCGGTTAGTGCTCGTGCGTCTGAAGGCGTTCGCGCTCTGAGGCTGAAGACGCGCGCGACTCCTCTTTTATGCACCAGTGGAGCCTGACGTCACCATCGCTGAACTGTTCCGAAGGAATGCGAGGAATTCTTGGCGCGTTTTCCATCCGAGCTAAGCACCACCCTGTCTAACTTTCTTCTTTTTTTCTCTCTCTCACTTAAATGAATTTTCCCCTCTCACTGAACACATTTTTTTTACTGTTTCCCCCACCTATATTTCTCTTCCCCCTTCTCTCTCTCGCTGCCCTTCACGCTTCCTTTTGGGTTTGCGTAAAGTTAATGCCTAAAGACTTGAATCCATATAATAAAGCGTTCTGATACTCAAATGTGTACAGAAGATATTGTGTTTAGCATTTTAAGGAGACTGACATGCTGTAGTAAGTGTGCGAATTATATTGTATTCATATTGAGGTTCAAAATGTCTTTTATCTTACCATTATATTGGTAACTCATTAAATCAATAATTTAACTCATTCTCCCATTAAAGCAACGTGTGTGGTAACCTAAAGTGTGTGTGTGTGTGTTTGGGGGGTTAATTTTAAGTATTATTTAACCAGCATCATCTTACTAACCTCGTGTATTTTGGCTAACGTCATGTAAAAGTTATTAGCCTTATTACTCGGCACAGAAATATTTGGTCTCCCCCAGGGGTCTATTATTGGCGTTACGCGCGCGCGTCAACCATAAATGAATGCTCGGCGCGCGCGCGCGTTCCCTTGTTCAGATCAGCCACGCGCTTTGGGGAGTTGTATCAATCCTAAAACATCCTTTTTAGAAAGACAAATGCTTAAAAAAACTCATCTGTGCCATCATGCGCCCGATTCTGTGCGCGTTTGAGACGATCCGAAGTCAAACTTTACGGCTTCTATTTTTGGCTCAGCTCGCTCCTCTCTCTTGACTCAACAGCTCGAAGTGCTTCCAGATGTGGAGCCTGATTCCAGACGTAACAATATTACCATATTTGGTCTGGGCAGTAGCTTGCATTATTAACATTTCTGCTGGAGTTATCCAACCACAAAGCATTCCTGACAGCTTAAAGGGTCCCTGCATATGCTCTCCGTGGAGGAAATTCCTCCGGATAATTTAATATGCATGCAGTCTGTCCATCACAAAGTGAAAGAAAAAGTGCATCCAGTTTTCCACATAAGATGTTCAAATAAAAAAAGAAAAGTGCACTGTTTTTGTCTGAGATTCCAAATAAGTGGCAGTATTCCACCGAAAATCAAGAGATTAGAAGTGTGAGAGCAAGCGAATGCACAATATAGCTCTATCCACAGGCTCTCGGACAGCACAAGTGTGTGGACACCGAGGCGTCCTGATGGAGAACGCTTGGCACCTGGAATCAGATCCTGCTCATATCTCAGGTATGGTTTACTCTAACGTCTTCATGGGCTGTGTGTGTGTAGCTGGTGTTCTTGCATGTGTGTGTTGTGATTGAGATCCCTGTGGTTAAACTGGTTTTAGTGGATTTTTCCCAGATTGCGACACTAGATGGTGATGTCCTGTGTCATTGTAGTAAAGATGAGTGTTTGACACAATCGTATGTTCTGGTTAAGTTACTTTGAAAATTAATGCACTACAATATTGCGTTATGTAACTTTTTCAGAAAAGTAATGCGTTACATTACTTTTGCGTTACTTTTTCTCCCCTGGGCTGATAACAATAAGTGCTATTTTTGGGCAAATTACACACCAAAGGTGAAATGATTAATCTTCAGGCTCAATGAAGTGCTAAATCCAATGCAAATTTAAAAAGTCATTTTTAGTAGTCAATATAAAGGAGATTGGTCAATAAAGTGAGATTAAATGCATGCAAATATTTGTTTTGTTTGTTTGCGTAGCATGATTTTGCATTTGACTGATTTTATTCATTTTAAGGAATATTGAATATTTTTTGAGCAAGTGAGATGAGTAAATGCACGCTCACATTTATAGTCTTGAACTACAATAACCATCATGTTCACACACACGTTTTTCTCAACATGAAGACGAGAGCTGTCAACTTGCTTTACTTTGAAAACTAACTGAGATATTTTGTTGTAAATTTCAAAGGTAATGCGCTGCTTTACTAGTTACTTGAAATAGTTATTGATTACATAACTTGTAAAGTTACGTTGCATTACTTGTAGTGCGTTTCCCCCAGCACTGCTGGTTACCATGACTGGGTAAAATCGCATTTTAAAACATGCAAGTGGATATATACCTCTGCTGGAAAATCCAGTTTTAAGAACATGATAGCACTTTTATTAGAACTTGCATTGGCTTTAGTTCGTCTTGGACCAGAAGCACAGCATCTGAAGCTGGTCAAGCTGTTTTGAATGAAACATGGTGTTATGTTTTATTTTTTAATGACCGGCCATGTTTCAAACACTGTTACCAGCCCAACAGTTGACGCATGAGGCCTGGGAAGAGTGTCGAAGAGCATGTCCATTTCTCAGCCAATCACCTGAGCTGTAAATGCTGGAAAATGACATCATGGTAATGCTGATTGGCTTTTACTATTGACTATTACGTGAATGCTTTTAAACGACTCTCAGTGACTAAAGATGATCTTTATACAGTCCAATGGCTTTAAAAACCCAAAACGCTTGGTTTATTAGTTTAAGCTATCGGTTTTATCACCATTGTTTATCCTTTGAAACCAGACTTCTTTGTTTGATATGCCACTTGCTAAATGGTAATGAAAGGTAAGCTGCTTCACTGATTTTTTTATTTTTTATTTGTGTGATTTTAGGGGTTAAAATACTTTTTAAGGCCACTGTATGTCAGGTGATATGTGTCATCATTTCCCAATATGGATCTAGGTGGTTACTATGCGTTGCTAGTATATTCTGAGTGGTTACTAAACATTGCTAGTATGTTCTGGGTGGTTACTAGGCGTTGCTAGTATGTTCTGGGTGGTTACAAGGTGTTGTCTGTTGCTATGGTGTTCTGAGTGGTTACTAGGCATTGCTAGTATGTTCTGGGTGGTTATTAGGTGTTGCTAGGGCATTCTGAGGCGTTTCTAGGATGTTCTGGTTGGTTACTAGGTATTGCTAGGGCATTCTGAGTGGTTACTAGGCGTTGCTAGGATGTTCTGGGTGGTTACTAGGTGTTGCTAGGGCGTTCTGAGTGGTTAATAGGCGTTGCTAGGATGTTCTGGGTGTTTACTAGTTGTTGTGGTTGCTAGGATGTTTTGGGTGGTTTACTAGGCGTTGCTAGGGTGTTCTAGATAGTTACTAGGTTTTGCCTGGGTATTTTAAGCAGGTTACTAGGCATTGATAAGATGTTCTGGGTGGTTACTAGGCATTGCTAGTAAGTTTTGAATGTCTAATAGGCAGTGCTAGGATGTTCTGGGTGGTTACTAGGTGTTGCTAGGTGTTTCTATGATGTTCTGGTGGTTACTAGGCATTGATAGAATGTTATGGGTGGTTACTAGGCATTGCTAGGGTATTTTGGATGGTTACTAGGTGTTGCTATGGTGTTCTGAGTGGTTACTAGGCGATGCTGGGATGTTCCGGGCACTTACTAAACTGTTGCTATGTGGTTGCTAAGGGATTCCGAAAGACTAAATGAAATTAACTGCTATGATGCAAGGGTATTCTGGGTGGTTACTAGGCTGTTGCTAGGTAGTTGCTAAGAGGTTATGAAAGCCCAGAAAAATAACTGTAAGATGCTAGGGTGTTCTGAGTGGTTACTTATCTGTTGCTAGGTGGTTGCTAAGAGGTTATGAAAGAAAATCTAACTATATGATGCTTGTGTGTTCTGAGTGGTGACTAAGCTGTTGCTAAGGGGTTCTGAAAGACTGGGAAAATAACTGTTATGATGCTGGAATGTTCTAGGAAAGTACTTGGCTGTTGCTAGGCTGTTGCTAAGGGCTTACTTTTTGGTGCTACTATACGTATAAGTGATCTGGGTTGTTATTTTGTCACTGCGTTGTGTTTCTTCTCAGTGTTTGAGGTCAAATGAAGTGTCCAGTGAGAACGTGAGCTCATGAAGGGTTGACATCTGTTCGGGCGCGGGGCTTTAGGAAACAGTGCTGTCATTGTGTTCTCATTTTTCTATTCTGGAATTACACATCCAGGAACCATTACAAGAGCGTTTTTCATTTGTGTCCGCCGCCGCCGCCATGTTGTAATGGCAAACATAATATTTTCCATTTTCTTCCAGGGCTCTTGGAAGTGCGATTGATTACGAACGCATGACTCAAACCCCTCCACATTTCTACATTACGTAACGTGTTATGTTGATTTTACCTCCGGTGTGGAAGTTGTCTCGGATCAGAGAGATGTTATCCAGGTTTTCGGCCCTTGTTTGCTCTGTGGCTTTTCCTCTCATAGATCACTGAGACCATGCGATGTCATTTCCTGTGTGTGGACTGCAACTAAAATCACACTCGACTCTCCCAGGACCAGCGCTGTCGTTTCAGTGGCAAAACAATCCGAATGTCCTTCAGTACTTTGATGTATAGGCTGTTTTTTTTTTTGCTAGTCGTTGATAAGCTGATGTGGGCTTCTTTTATTGTGGCTAAGCCACTAATTTAAAAGGACAGTTCATCATATTTTCTGGTTTTGGGTCACCTGTCCCTTTAACATCTGTAGGACTGTAGGATTAATTCATAAATCGAGGCGTGGTTAAAAACATGATCATGTCATTATGGTGTTTTTTTGTACTGGGTGGTTACTAGGCTGTTGCTAGGTGGTTGCTAAGTGCTTCTAAAAGCCTAGAAAACCAACTGCTATGATACAGTTGTTTTGGGTGTTGAGTGTTTTGGGTTGATACTGGGTCGTTGCTAGGGTGTTCTGGCTGGTTACTAGGTCATTGCTAGGGTGGTCTGGCTGGTTACTAGGTCATTGCTAAAGTTGCCTAAACTAGGCTGTTGTTAGATGGTTGCTAGGGGATTCTGAAAGGCAACAAAATAGCTACAATGTTATTAGGTTGTTCTGGATGGTTACTTGATCGTTGCTAGGATGATATGGGTGGGTAATAGGCCGTTGCTAGAGTAAGGTAGTCTGGGTGGCTACTGGCCATTGCTAGGTGGTTGCTAAGGGTTTCTAAGAGCCCATAAAACGAACTGCTTTGATACTAGGGTGTTCTGGGTGGTTGCTACACTCTTAGAAGAAATGGTTCTATTTAGAACCAGAAATGGTTCCATCCCCCGCTTCATATATGGAACTCCAAAACGGTTCTATATAGAACCATTTTTTGGTAAAAGGTTCTATTGGCCAAGTATGGAACCCCAGGGTTCTATATAGAACCCAGAGGAACCCTTTTTAAGAGTGTATAGAACCTTTTAGGGGTTCCAAATACGTAGCACTGAAAGAACCTTTTAAGGTTCTATATAGAACCTTTTCTTCTAAGAGTGTAGGGTGGTCTGGATGGTCACTAGGCCGTTGCTAGAGTAGATTAGTCTGGGTGGCTACTTGACCGTTGCTAGATGGTTGCTAAGGGTTCCTAAAAGCCCAGAAAACTAACTGTTTTGATACTAGGGTGTTGTGGCTGGTTACCAGGTCGTTGCTAGGGTGGTCTGGCTGGTTAGTAGGCCATTGCTAAGTTTTGCTAACGGGTTCTGAAAGCCCACAAAACTAACTGCTGTAATGCTAGATTGTTCTGTGTGGTTATTGAGCCATTTCTATGTGGTTGCTAAGGGGCTCTGAATGGTTGTCAGGGTGTTGCTATATGGTGGGGTGAAAGGGTGTTCAGGAAAAGCTCTCCTGTCCTCAAGTATTCATGCATAAACAGCCAGCTTAATGATAATGCTTAAGAACAAACAATAGTATTACTGATGCTTGCCACTAATAATCTGTGTTTAACCGAGTGGAATTTTCCCCTGATGATGAGCTTTGGCCGTTTACACTGGATCAGATACATACTTTAGCCATGACATGTGCTTCCTCCGACTGTAAGGAGAAAGTGTTTATCCTGATGACATTCCACAGACGATCCGGTGAGATCGGAGCCGTTTACAGTCTGGATTCTGAATGAGTTTTGTTCGGAAAAGTTGCTTAGAAACAGAATGAGATCATGAAATCACACAACTCCTAATAAAGCCGCAGAGTTGAAATGGAAAATACGCTGAATAGCAGGAAGATTATGAAGCTTCTCACCCTGGTTTTACAATGGTAACAACAATAAATGTAGATAACGGTGTTGTTCAAATGTAAACTATAGATGGTAAATCTTTAGCACAGTAATGAAACCTAGTGAGCCTGATTTAACCCTCTGGTTTCTTCAAAAATGACAGAAAAATTTTTAGTTTGATAATGTTTTTATTTCATATTCAGTATTTTTAGGGGATTTTGGCACTAAATTATATTTACGCAGTATTTATAATCCATTTATTCACTTTTTGAGCATAGACCTTAAGACCTTCATCTGTGGTAAATCTCGAACACTTTAGAGCGTAGACTTAAGTTTGATTTTGTCAAACTCGTTTTAAAAAAGTGAAAGTAAGCGTTCAGTGAGAGTGTGTTCGGCTGCAGTACCAAACGCTTCCACTAGAGGAAACTCATCACTCATGTCTGACCGCGAGAAACACAAGTGTGACGATTTATTTCAGGACCATTTAACCTTTTCCAATCACATCCATGATTTGTGTGTGTGTGTGTGTTCACACAGCAAGTGAAAGAAACGTTACCACGTTTGGTACCATTTTGATGAAGTAAAAAATGTATTAATTCATTTTTCGGTAAATTTTTTGTTAGTTTGGAAAACAAGCCAGAAACACTGAGGGAAAAGCTAATTTTCTGAGATGTTTGAGATGCACACACACACACACTCAGCAGGTTCTGGAACACTAAGAAGCTCTAGATGTGTGTAAGCGGATGTTATATGATGTTCACGCAGAGAGTGCCGTTATAGAGTGTGTTTAGGCCCCAAAAACCAGCTCCAAAAAGCCTTTGAAGCTCAAAGTACATTCATCTTTTACGGCCCTCCAAGCTGCGAACTCCACAACACACATATGTCCTCTCCGAAGGGGAAGCCGGAGGAATGGAAAAACGCAGGGAAAGAGGGAAGGGAATGAGAGGATGGAATGTGGGGCTCCGGGAATGTTTAGACCGGTCTGGATAATTGAGTGGATTTGGAACAAGAAAAGACAAACTTTGTTCCCGGGGTCTGAGGAATGCAGGAGGAAGTCTGGAGAACGATCCGGCCGAGCTGACGGAAAGATGGAGACACTGAGGAATGTCCATAGAAGAGGAATTCCAGCCGTGCACACACATTTAGACACACACACACACACACACAAAGACACAAACATATACTCACAAAGAGACACAAACACTCGCACACACTCACAAAGAGACACACACAAACACTAACAAACAGACAGACACACATGCACACAGACACTCACACACATGATAATGACATCATGGCGAATATAGTACGTCCAGATAATTCGATATCACACTGGACTTGGTGCTGAAACCCGAAGCACAGGACAATAGTGACATCATAATAACAATATTCATGATTCTGAAGCTGAAAATACAGGATTATTTAGACAAATATGCTTGCTCTCTGACTGAATGTATTTAAAATAATGTAGGACACTTTTTTTAATATCAGATATCAGGAGCCAAATATTCCCCCAGTGCATTACATTATATTCAACATTATATACAGTAGGAGTCTATTGCAGTACTGACACTAAAACTCTGGAAATAAAAATTAAAAATTCACACAGTAATTTCACACAGTAACAATAAAGTCAGAATTGCGCGAAATAAAGTCAGAATTGCGAGGAAATATAGTCAGAATTGTGAGAAATAAAGTCAGAATTGCGAGAAATAAAGTCAGAATTGCGAGAAATAAAGTCAGAATTGACTATGGACCATTGAAGTCATTATATGGAGAAAAAAAATATATTTTCCTCAAAAAAATGACGTCATCAGCGCTCTGTGTGTGTGCGTGTGGAGAACCACAAGTCAACAACAACAACACATATCACGCATCCATAAAGTTGAGTCCTTTCTAAGGTCACTAAATACACATTGGGGGTGGTGGTGGCGTAGTGAATAAGACCCGGGTTTGAATCCACTGTGAGACACCAATGTGTCCCTGAGCAAGACACTTAACCCCTAGTTGCTCCAGAGACGTGCAACCTCTGACAATATATTACAACTGTAAGTTGTTTTGGAGAAAAGCGTCAGCTAAATGAAGAAATGTAAATGTAACTTATTTAATAATATAATTTAGACCTTCGACCGTTGGACCCCATTGAAGGCACTACAATCCTGGAATGATTCTTTTTTCGACTGAAGAAAGAAACACATGAACATTTTGGATGACGTGAATCATTAGAAATGTTTCGTTCAGGCGTGAACTTTAAAATCTGTTTTTAAGGCGGAATCGCATCTAGCCTAGACTTGTTCTGTTCACCCCTCCGCCCATATTATGCATTCTAGTTGTTGTTGTTTTTTTATGATTAATTAATTTTTATTTATTTATTAAATGCTCGAAGAAAAGAAACGAGAGGGAAAAAAAAACATTTAAAACAATGATCATTGTCACAACATAATACAACAATACTAGAGTCTTTCAGCCTATAGTTTTTATTGGTTCGCGGCCCTTCGGGAGCGTCGGTGACGTCATCAGCGCGCTGTTTGTACTCGCCCTTTCAGACCTCGAGCAGTGTGTGTGTTTGTGTGTGAACCACAACAGGCAACAACAACAACACCTAAAAAAAAAACAACAACACACACGCGCATCTCGCATCCGGAAACTTGAGCCCGGCGAGTCTGTGATGATGTCCACGTTCGGGCGCTTTACGCACGCCGTGGTCCGCGCGGTCCCGCGGTCTCTGGCCACAGAAGCGCTCCGCACCGAGAGTCTGGGCGAGCTGGACCTGCCGAGAGCCCAGCAGGAGCACGAGCTGTACGTGTCGGTCCTGAAGCAGCGGCTCGGGCTGGAGGTGCTGGAGCTGCCCGCGGACGAGGCGTTGCCGGACTGCGTGTTCGTGGAGGACGCGGCGGTGGTGTGCGGAGACACGGCGCTCATCACGAGACCCGGGGCCGAGAGCAGGAGGAACGAGGTACGGATCAGAGAACACGATATCTGGAACATGGGGTTCATGCACTTGATTCAGGCGCGCGACCGAGAGGGGTTTGAGAATGCGCGTGCGTTGTTTTCATGTTGTTTTGTTGTGCATTTTCAACTGCGATGTGTCAAGTTTCAGTTTTCCTTAGGCTTGAGGTCAAGGGTCATTCTGAGCGTTCTCCTTTAGTAAGCAGATATTGAGTTGACGGAAGTTTTTGTGAAAACTGTTCATGCAAGTTGTGCAACTTTACTGGCATAAAAGCACGAGCAGCTTATGCTGAGATGGACCGGCGAAAACCAAACATACTGAATCAGTGTTGTCCTCATCAAGCGAACTATTGATTGGCATTGAAAGATTTCATTCGTCAGCATCACTAAACGCAGCGAGTTTCATCTGTTGCATGCATGTGTATCCCACTTTTCAATAGTGCAATCCATTCTACAGTTGTATCATTCATTTGTTAAAATGCATTTAGTTTCCTTTAGTTAAAGCTACAGGACGTTTTTTTTGTTGCAAAAATGAAACCAGTTTTGCTGTTAAATAGAGATTTGAGATTAGTTTGTAATATGAAAACCGTTGAATGAATTGAATGCAATTAAGGTATAGGTAGTTTTCACTTTGTTGTTAGGGGTTGCTAGGTAGTTGCTAATGTGATGTTTGGGTTGCTAGGTAGTTTCTAATGCATTTGAACGGGTAATTTCATCTTCTTTGAGGTGAATCCAGGAATTTTGTTTATGGCTATTTTTTTCATCAACTGAGTGAGAATGTTATTGGTTTAGAAGTCAAACTTATTACTTTTTATGTCATAATTATGACTTTTTGTCAATTGCCTTTTTAAGTTATAATATGAAAGACTGTTCATCTAATAATTATGACTTAGTATGCCATATTTTTGACTTTTAATCACCAATATGACTTAGTGTTTACTTTCGACTTTGCATCTCATCAATATGACGTAGTTTTAATGCTAATGGACTCAGCATGATTGTGTTGAGGCCGTTGGGTCACTGAGGGAGAATGTCATTGGTTTAGTTTTGTCATTTCTTCTGTATTGAAGTTGCTGTTTAGTTTTTGCTCTTTAAGTGAGGGATTGTAGGAAATATAGTTTAGATTGATCTATATGTCAGTCGGGAATGGGGTTGTTTAGCCATCAAAGGCATTTTTGAGATCCCTTGGGTAATTCTTCTGATTATTGAAGATGCTTTAATGTAAATTATGCACTTTTTAAATAAAACGGTGAGATTATTTGCTTGGTAATTCATGAAAGTCCGCTGTAGTTACGTTCGGCCAGTAAAACATTGATGTGTCTTTCCACAAATTTCCACTGTATGAGGACTAGGGATGGGCAACGATTAATCGCATCCAAAATAAAAGTTTGTGTTTACATAATATATGTGTGTGTAGTGTGTATAAAAACCCACACATGCATGTATATATTTAAGAAAAATGTGTTATTAATATATCAAATATTTATATTTATATGTAATATTAATTGTGAATATATATATATACATGCACATATTTCTTAAATATATACATGCATGTGTGGGTATTTATATATGCATATTAATTATACACACTACACACACATCTATTATGTAAACACAAACTTTTATTTTGGATGCGATTAATCGCGATTAATCATTGCCCATCCCTAAGATTGATTAGCATCAAAAATGAATTTGGTTGAGTATGAATCAAATGTAGATGTATTGTTACGTCATTTTTACATTTATTACTCTTTTTTGGAAAACAGCTTTGCACATATACGTTGTATATTTACCATATTTACGAAATATTCACTGTAATTTGAACCCATTTAGACATCCTTCCTGCTGAAAGACTAAACGTCTGTGTTTGAGACGTCACCCTAATGGTTTTGCTTAATTAGTCTTGTGTGTTTGCTAGTAAGGGGGTGAGATTGAGCTTTAAGACTGCTCCACTTGACTGATTGCCTAAATGTTCATTAATGATGTTTGCAAAGTCAAGAATCCCATTACAAACCTCTAATAATAAGTTTAAAAGATCATCGTGTGCCTCGTCCTGCAGCAAACATGCTTTTCAAAATGTTCCGTTAGGTTCACTAATAATGTGACTAAAGTTGCACAAGAAAAAAACCCGAATAATATGCTGAAAAACGATAATTTGTTTTTCAACTCTGTCTGAAATGGTCAGTTTTTAATGCGCGGCCCCTTTAAGGCTTCAGTAAACGCCCACTGTTATGATTGGCTGATGACGTCACTGCATAGTGTGAGATTAAAAAACCGTATAAAACTCTAACCTTATTTAACATAACACTTTGAATCACCATGTCCTAACATGATCTGTTCTGTGCTTTGCACTGTTGTAGGCCTGTAGCCAAACTCCTGTTGAGTGTATAAATAACATGGGAAATGAAACTAGACCGATGACTCGTTAGAACCTTGTGATTAACAATGAAGTAATCATTAACACAAGAGTTTACTCTTTCCTGGTACCAGAAGAGTTTGCATATGAAGAACCAGGTAAATGATGTCACATCATGTTATTTTTCCATACCCATATTCTCTAAACTAAAGACTGTTGTATTGCTCCGGCTGGGATTCTCTGGGAAGTGTGTCTGAGATCCTCCGGCTGGGCTTCTTCTCGGAGGAGAGTCTCTGAGAGCTGCTCGGGCAGATCTCCCAGCCGTCATTAAAGCATTTGCAGAAGTCTGTCTGTCGTTAGACTCGTTACTGCTGCCGTTAGTTAGTTTAGGGAAGCAAGTTCACTTTTCAAAACACTTTTGCTGATAATTTACTGACCCCCATGCTGTCATCCAAGATGTCCACGTCTTTCTTTCTTCAGTCGAAAAGAAATTAAGGTTTTTGATTCGTTGAGTGAACCAAATGACTCGGAAAAAGATTTGTTCGTTTTGATGAACAGGAGAGTCACGAACTCGCATCACGGAACAGAGCAAGGCGAGCATTTGAGCTTATAAAACTTAATCTTTGTTATTTATTTATTAAACGAGCGATCGTTTCGCTTGATAAGACCCTTATTCATCGTCTGGTGTCGTTTAAAGCCCTTTGAACAGTTTGCACTGAAACTGTCTTTTGGACCTTGAACCGTCTGGTTCACATTGAAGTCCATTATATGGAGAAAATCCTGGAATGTTTTCATCAAAAACTTTAATTTCTTTTCCATTTGAACCGGGTTCGTTTGACTTTGGTTCATTCACACTGCCAGTGATTTTCCGGAATCAGAGAGTGTGTTCACACACATCCCGTGACAATCCCGTAAAGTCACGTGACATTGATGTGACATGTTTCAGAGCTGCGACTTCTCTCTGGAGAATCCACGATTGTGCATTTCTTTCTCTGATTTGATCATAAACTTGCACTTTTTGTTATACTTTTTTTTTTTGTTCACATTTTGTTATAGATCCCCAATCCGGCATCGGGATCAACGCGCTGTGTGAAAGGGGCTTTAGTTAGAGCTCATCCATGCTTTTATTTAAGAGACCAGTGGGCGGAGCCTATGGTGTGATGAGCTGTAACTGTAGAGAGCCTAAGCCCCTCCCCTTCTGGTCGACCACCATGGGAACTTTTTTCGGAAAAATATCGAATGGTAGTTAATGGCGAGAGACAACAAATATTTTGATCTGGTTTGAATTGTGCCCTGAATTATGATGTTTGTCAAATTAAAAGATACGTTTTAAAGTAAAGAAAGTCGCAGTTTGATGTAAAACCGTAATTACAAAATACTTAATTACAAAGACTACAAACCCCAAAGGTGCACATTTTCTCTCAGTGAATGAAGCGAACTTTACTGAGGCTAATGTCTGTCGTTGTTTCTATAGTCTTACGTTATAATCGTAACGTTACGAGTGTTTTGTACCAGAATGCACACACACACGAGCAGCGGATCTCACTCGTTGTTTCGCTTCCTGGGAGATGTAGTTCACAGAGCGATTTTCACATAAAACTAAATTATACTCTTCTGTTTTATGACAAACTGCGACGTTTTTGACTTTCAGAATTATCTTTTAAATTGACGAACATCATATGTGTAATCGAGGGCGCAGTTCAGACGGAATAAAAAGATAAGTTGTCTCTCGCCATTGACTACCATTCATATTTTTTACGAAATAAGCTCCCATGAGCCGGAAGCGGAGGGGCGGGACTTATGCTCTCTATTGGTCAACTATTGGTCGCTCTGGAGTAGGGATGGGCAACGATTAATCGCGATTAATCGCATCCAAAATAAAAGTTTGTGTTTACATGATATATGTGTGTGTGGTGTGTATAATTATTTTGTATATATAAATACTAACACATGCATGTATATATTTAAGAAAAATGTGTTCTTAATATATCAAATATTTATATTTATACATAATATTAATTATGTAGAAATAAAGTATTTACATGCAAATATTTCTTAAATATACACATGCATGTGTTAGTATTTATATATACAAAATAATTATACACACCACACACACATATATTACGTAAACACAAACTTTTTTATTTTGGATGCGATTAATCGCGATTAATCGTTGCCCATCCCTACTCTGGAGGCGGGCATATGCAAATGTGTGATGTCCCAGTCAGATCCTGCTGTTTTTGGAGCTTGATTAACCCTTGTGCTGCATTAGATTTTTAACACCGTTGAGTGCATTAAGGACCAAAAATGGCCACATATTAAACATTGCCTAAAATATTATATATTATTATTATTTTCCACTTTTACCAAGTTAAATCTTTTAACCAGCATCAGTCCTCATCATAAGTACCAAAAATGTATTCAATTTCAGGATTTTAACCCTTTAATTACCAGTTTTGTTTGCGAAACCATCGATTTGTATAAGAGGAAAAAACACAAAAATTCAATTATTTTCAATAAACTAAATGCAAAGAGAAAACTTTAGATTTGGATTATCACAGTCCCACTTTGCAAAAAATCCCACTTAGCGCGTTAGAGACCAAAAATGGCCACCTATTAAACGTTGCCTATTGCCTAAAATAAGG